AGAGATAGTCACCCCCAGCTGGGTTCTCACACTGTGATCCACTCCTAGTATCAGCCAGCCTGGATCACAGGCATGCACATGCACGCCCAGAATCTCAAGGAGTTCCCAGGATGTGAACACAGAACCTTTCTCATGGGGGTCAATTTGTGTTACCATTGTTTCACCACCTGACCCTCGATCTCATGTTCTTAGTAATTTTCTGAAAACCCTGGATCCACCTAGATTACCACTGAGTTTCCCTGGAAACGGTTTGAGTCCTGGACCTGTGGCTTGCTTTCTCAGTTCCCCTATCTCCCTCTCTCTCTCTGGTCACATTTAAAATAAATGAATAAAATAAAATAAATAATTCTTAAAAAAAAAAAGAGAGAAATTAATTTTACTTTTTTTCTTGACTGAACCATCATGTTTTGATGTTTCTTTATATTGCATTTATAATTGCATATCACTCACCTTAATTAATTGCATATCATTCATCTTAATTTTTTAAAGAATTATTTTATTCAGCTTTATTTATTCATTTATTTTTAATTTGACCAAAGAGGGACAGAGTGAGAGATTGAGAGAGTAGGAGAAAGCAAACCACCTGGTTTGAGACTCGAACCATGGTCGGCCATGTGGGAATCCAGTGCCCTTAAACACTTCGCCACCTGTCACACCTCATTCATCTTAATTTATAATTGCACATCATTCATCTTCTTTACTGTAGAGTGTTTCTTGTTTTAATTTTAAGAATTATTTATTCCATTTTATTTATTATTATTATTTTTTAATCTGACCCGAGAGAGAGAGAAGGAAAGTGAGAAAACAAGCTACCAGATCTGGGACTTGAACTGCAGTTGATCATGTGGGAGTCTAGTACCTTTAAGCACCATGCCACCTGCCAGCTATGTGGAGGCTAATTTTTTTTGTTGTTGGAGATGTTTTTTTTTTTTTTTTACTATAGGGCGTATACGCTTGCCAGAAAGACAGGGAGACAGAAAGCGAGAAATCACCCCCCAGGAGGGATGGCCACACCACAATTCCTTCTCCTCCATTCTTCTCTCGGGATCTTGGGCATGCACACATACGCGCCTGGCGTGAGTTTAAGCCACCGGGTCTGAGACTCAAACCACGGTTGACTACATGAGAGTTCAGTGACACAGCCATTATGCTAACTGCTGGTCCCGAGGAGGCTATTTTGATAAAGATTGCTGGTACCCGTGGAAGTTGTTTTGGAGAAAATAATTGGTTATTTCTTTTTTGCTTATGGCTAACTTTTCTTTTTTGGGGACTTCTAGATGAGGACCTTGAGATTGAACTGGTTGAGGAAGAACCTCCATTCCTGAGAGGGCACACCAAGCAAAGCATGGATATGAGCCCCATCAAAATTGTTAAGGTAAGAAGTATTGGGATTTTAGCCTGGAAATATTTATACTAAGTGGACATTTTTTTCTTTAAGTAATCAGTTTATCAAATCTTGTAAGCCAGAACTAACTCAATAGTAGTATTGACTTGGCCAGGGTCTAGAATATTTTATTTAGTTAGTTTTTAACTACACATGTGCTCACCAGAAACAGAGGGAGATGGAGAAAGCACCCACCAATGGGACATAGTCACTCTGCAGTCCCTTCTCCATTTCTCCATTTTTTCAGGCTTTGGGGCATGCATGCAGTTGGACCTAGTGTATTTTTCAAGTCACTGGGTCCTGGATCTGAACTGTGGTATGTTATGTGGGATCTGGTTTCCTAACCATCGGGCAAGGGGCCAGTCTGAATTTAGTTTTTAATATATTTGTTTTTTATTATAAAGAAAAAGGACAAGAGAGAGAGATTTTTTTTTTCTTTAGAGGTTTTTGCTATAGGGTGCGTGCGCTCGCCAGACAGAGAGAGACAGAGAGACAGAAAGCGAGAAATCACCCCCCAGGGGGGATGGCCACGCTGTAATCTCTTCTCCTCCATTCTTCTCTTGGGATCTTGGGCACGCACGCACATGTGCCCGGCATGAGTTTTAACTCCCTGGGTCTGGGACGCGAACTGCAGTTGACTACATGGGAGTCCAGCGACATAGCCATTATGCTAACTGCTGGTCCTGAGAAAGAGATTTTTTGACAGGGTCTTGCCATGTTGCAATTCTCTGCCCAGCCTCTCAGTTAACTAGGATTGCATAAAGATGTGTGCCACTGCACGTAGCCTGTTTTAAGTTGATCTAGGAACTGAACCTGGGCCTCCCTGTGGCTCTCATGCAGCGGTGTCTTATCCCTTGCACCACTGTGGCTGGGTCTAGAACATTTTTTTTTTGGAGAGGTTTTTGCTATAGGGCACGTGCGCTCGCCAGACAGACAGAGAGAGAGACAGAGAGACAGAAAGTGAGAAATCACCCCCCAAGGGGGATGGCCATGCCACAATCCCTTCTCCTCCATTCTTCTCTCGGGATCTTGGGCACGCATGCACACGCACCCGGCGTGAGTTTTAAGCCCCCGGGTCCGGGACACGAACCGCGGTCGACTACATGGAAGTCCATTGACATAGCCATTACGCTAACTGCTGGTCTCTAGAACATTTTTAAGTAGAGACTGGCTCGGCTTTGTTGCTTTTGCTATTTAATTATTTTCTACTCACTGTGTCTTGGGAGGAAGCAGAGAAAAGTAGGAGTGCTTGATTTACTGTCATTGCCTTAGCCCAGGTTCCTTAGGGCTTGAGTCATTATTTTGCAACTTTAGAAGCAATTTTAAAGGGTTTACTTGACCAGTTGGGACTGGCCTTCATAGAAAACTAGAGCAGTAGATGCTGTGGAAGGCAGTGGTCAGGGTGGAAACATAAGGAGAATTCAAACCAGCATCCATATAACAGTTACAAAATTTTAGCAAGGGCCATACAGTGGCATGGTGGTTAAGGTGGCTGGGTCCTATCTGGCCAACTGCGTGGTTCATTCTTGGACCTGGCAGCTTGTAAAACAGGGCATGGTATATGTGTGCCCAAAATTCCAAGAAAAGAATAGAAAAGAAAGGATTGTAGTGTGGCCATCCCCTTGGGGAGGTGCTTTCTCACTTTCTCTTTCTCACTCTCCTTCTCTGGCAAGTGCACGTGCTCTATAGCAAAAATTAAAAAGAACAGTTAAAGAAAAAATGTTTTTTAGATATGGCAAAGAGTATCTTAAAGGTCTCTTAGCCCAGCCACCCATGTAATCTAGCCATGCAATCCTTCTCATGCGGTCATCTCTCAGCTGCTCGACTTTGTTAATGACAGAGAATTCACTAGTCCTAAGGAGACACAGTCCATCTTTAGCTCTGTCTGGTCATTAGTTCTTTCTTAGGCAAAACTGACATCTGCCTCACCGAGGTATCCACATTAAGTGCTAATTTCAGGTTTTAGGATCATAAAAGAGAATTCTTGTCCCTTTCTTATGTTCTTTATACATTTAAAGATGGCATTATTTCAGGCCAACTGGTGGTGTGAGTAAGGCAGCTGGATCCCACATGGCCAGCTGAATGGTTTGGACCTGCTGGTTTGAAAAACATACTGAACACATGTGCATGCACACTCAAAATCCTGAGAAGAGAATGGAGAAGAAGGGATTGAGGCGTGGCCATCCTCTCCCTGCTCCCCCCTGCCTCAGACAGTGATTTCTGACTTCATTCTCTTTTTCTGCAAGTGCACATGCCCTATAGCAAAAACTTAAAAAAAAATTTTAAAAAGATAGTGTTATTTCTCTTTCTCTTGGGGTTCTCATTTTCAAGCTGAACACCTCCAATTCCTTCAGTGATATATCATTGTCCTCATTCATTTTATCTGAACAGGTTATAGCATTGATTTTTTTCATGTAGCCTGGAACATCGATAGGAAATTTATTCTAGGTGTGGGCTAGTGTTTTAGTGACTTAACATCTACATTATATTTCCTGGACATTTAATGTACATTGCTGTTTCCTCTGGTGCGCTAGAACCCTGATGGCTCCCTGTCCCAAGCAGCGATGATGCAGAGTGCCTTGGCCAAAGAAAGGCGGGAGCTCAAGCAGGCCCAACGGGAAGCCGAGATGGATTCCATTCCCATGGGACTCAACAAACACTGGGTCGATCCTCTTCCTGATGGTAGGACTCTTGGATGGACATGTGGACCTTTTTAAAAAAATCTGAACTTTTAAGTACACAGGGAATGGGTACATTGTCAGCATACACTAAAAATTTAATCTTGTTTTTTCCCTTTAGTTATAGTATATTTATTTTGTTTTGTTTTTTGAAGATTATTCATTTATTTCTCATGTGAGCGAGAGAGGCAGAGAAGCATCCCCAACTGGGTCTTCATGCTTTGACTTTCCCCCACCCCGAGTCCTAGTTAGCCTGGATCAAGGGCACACACATACATGCCTGCCATGCTCAGGGAGGTCAAACCCAGGATGCAAACCCAGGACTGTTCCGATGTGGTTCTAATTATGCCACTACAGTGTCATTGCCTGACTCTTTGCTTTTTTTTTTTTTTAAGTTCATTTATTTACTTATGAGAGGGCGTGATACATTAATTTTTGATAGGTTCTAGCCATGTCCGGGTCTCCTGCCCTGGACTCAGCTAAGTAGGACTACACTGTGATCAGCCTATTTATGTTGGGCCCAGACCAAACCAGGCCTTCCACGAAGCTTCAGCATCTGAATAACAGCATCTTACTGGTATGTGCCACCATAGCTGAGCCTTATTTATGTGTTTTTTTTGTTTGTTTGTTTTTGTTTTTTGTCAGAGGATGTGTGCTTGCTGGAGAAAGTGAGAGAGAGGAGAACGTAACCCCCATAGGGAACGGTCATATTGTAATCCCTTCTCCATCTCTCTCTCCTTTTGGGATTTTGGATATGCACACACCTACGCCGGAGGTGTTTCTCAATCCACTGGGTCTAGAACTTGAACTGTGCAGTTGGCCACTTAGGATCACCAGACCTACTTTGTTTGTTTATTTATTTAATCTTACTTGTTTTTTAAGTTTTGCCACAGGGCATGTGTGCTCGCTAGAGAGACAGAAAGAGACAGAGAGACAGTGAGAAATCACTTCCTTGGGGGAATACCCATGCTACAATCCCTTCTCCTCTATTCTCCTCCTGAGATTTTGGGCACGCATGCACACGTGCCTGGTGTGATCTTCAAACAGCCAGGTCTGGCACTCGAACACAGTCGACCAAGTTGGGAGCCCCAGCACCTTAATCATCACACAACCTGCTGGCCCGTTTTTTTTTTTTTTTTTTTTTTTGGGTTTTTTTTTTTTTTTGTTTCGGCGGGGAG